AAAAAAAGAAGCAATTATAAAAGAGAGTATCTAACTACGTCTTTATCACTCTTTATTGAGTTTTTTTAAGTTTAAATGTTAATTTGTGGTGCTGTAATTGTATTAATCTATATATATAATTGCTGGCATATAGCATTTAATAAAACCTATTTAATAAAACTTTTAAAATTTTCCCTCTATTTTCGGTTATAAAACTTATCATTAATAATTTTTACATCTCACATTAATATACGTCCTATTGAGTGTAATCATGTACGTTTTTATTATATTATATAGTAGTTATTGTTAATACCAACTAATAATAATTCATAATAAATATAAATTACATAATTATAAATAATCATTTCAAGTTATTTATTATAACATCAATATTTGCGTCTCATGAAAGTTTCTTTAAAAACAATTAGTAAATTATTTTAGTAGCATAGTCAAACAACTTTAGAATCTTATAAAAAATTATTTTTTAAAAATAATAATATTAATAATAATTAAACTTTTATTATCTAATGATAATAAACAATTGTTCATCATGATAAATTTGTTAATTTATTTTTTTTAATGATCAAATTTTTGAAAACGTAATATGTTCATCATCTAGAATTTTAATATTAAATTCTCAAATATTATTTATAATATTTTATGTACATCTATACATGTACGCAAGATATTTACTAGTTTTATTTATAAAATCTAGTGCGTCATTATACTTCAAGAATATGACTTCCATTCATGTTTTATAGTCCTTTTAAGATTATAAAACTCTTGTCTAACTTAAACTATAAATGAAAACTTAAACAACTTTTTATTTGTTATCAATTTATAATATATAATATATCAAATTAATCATTATTTTGACAATTTTCTTTTTTTTTTTTTTGGGTACAAATTATTTTGACAAACTTTGATATATATATGACGTTCAATTTAAATGATCTATCGGCCCTTATTGAAAAATAATATTTTTATTATCAATTAAACAAATTTATGAAACTTTTTTGTATGACATGGGTTAGAAAATATTTGTTATGTACATATCAAACTACGTTATAAAGCAATTTTTATTGAAAAAGCACTAGCTACTTAATTTTGATGATACATTCTACTAGACCAAAAGATATTTAGACAAGTAATATTGACCAACTTCAATTTTATTTCATATACTTACAACACACGAACAAGTCCTACATAATTCAAGCCCACTGCCCACATAAGTGCCAACCTAACACAAAGTTATTCAAAACACGCTCTTTACCACATTATTACAACATTTCACTACTCACACAAAGAACCAACAAACGTATCATAGTTTAACTCCTAAACAATATTGCCATAGTTCTAATCATCTACGAGGCACCTTGGGCCAGCAGTGGCGAGTTTGTCGATAAGCGCTAGCGCGTTACTCGTCATGTACGTGACATTCGAAACCCGATTCACGATTGACCTAACCCGTTTTCCTTTCCCTCCCTCGATAAACCCATCCACGCAAGTGTCCTCGTCCGTGAGAGCCGAGCTAACCCAAGTAGCAACATCATCCACTTGGCTACCGAACTCCCGAACGCTAAGCTTTCGAAGCACGTAAAGCGACTTGTGCAAGTTATCGAGCGCGTCTCCAAAACACTCGATGCAGTCGGACAAGGCAACTCTGTTCCTTCCCCTCATCGCCCGATTGCTTCTACTCAATGTCGACAAGTATAGCGCGACCTTCTTGGCTTCGCCTATCGTAACCGATACACTGGCCCGAGCCCACCGGCTAGGGCTTTGTCCGGCTGTTTTTGAGAATGAGGACAGAGAGTGAACGCAGAGATCTGGATAACGTGTCACACTGCAAACGTCTCGAACATAGCCATTATTTGTGTCGTCACTTCCGGAAGCCGAAGAGCACGAATATATCGCTAGTAGTAGCATCAATACTATGAATCGAACCATGACTTTAAAACAAAAATCGAAGGAAAATCAAGAAATACTAACAAGATTGACAAATGAGATTTTAAAAGGGGTTTTAGAACATGAGATGAGCTAAGGGCTTAGGTCAAAAATGTGATCTTTTTAAAGGGGTTGCCATTGGATAAGTTGGAAAAAGTTCATGAGAGCTTTTTTTGCAAAGAAGTTTGTTGGGGGAAAGAGCAAGAAGATGGTGAATGCAATAAAGGCCATCAATAAAAAAGGGTGAGAAGTTAGGTGTGATTTTCATGAGTCCCAAATAGGGCTTTGTGAATTGATCTCACAAAATATGTCTCATCATAAAAAGGTATTGAGTAAAGAAACGAGTGGGGACTCTTCAAAACAAAAACACTATAGATTAGAGCAATTGGCCACACAACACAAATATGTATGTATCCTATCTTGAAAGGAATGTTGACAATGCAAGTTAATGAATACAATTATAATTATATAAGTGCCCCGGAAGTCTAAAACTCTTTTTAGAAAGTTCTAGTTAGATGCAATAATTTTTAAAACAATTTTTTTTTTTAATATTTTTTTTTTTATTTTCGGATCACTTAATCACGTAAAACCTTAAATGATATTAGATATATTGAATATTATTGGTAACTTTTTTTAACACAGTTTAAATTGTGTTCGAGATGTCTACGTACGCCTGTTCTGTGAATTCCACTAATTATATTTCAGGAAAATGTTACGGTCCTGTTACGAACTATTCGGTCGTGTGTTTTAACCGCTGGATACATATGTAGTTAGTATAAGATAGATGATCCAACGGTTAACACACCCGACGAACCTTTTTTTTGTACAAAGGAAGAGGCTAGACACCCAGTGAGTTGCGGAGCAAACAGTGTAGGGATAGGCCACGCCAATAAAATCATGTTGTAGCCATTAACGTATACCCCTGGCGGTGCATGAAAATACTAATACCCCAATGAACCTTCTGCGACAAAGGATGCCAAAAAGTCGGCCGCATAAACTATCGCTATTCTTTCTTTATACACCTTGGATGTATGATATATTATAATTATACAAACCATAATGTATAAAATTTGAAGCCTAAGCTTATTTACCCTTGTCATTCAAGACTTCAATTACAAGAAAGTGGGGAGATGGATATTAATTTACACATTTATGAAGATTTTATTTCTAATTGTAAATATATATTAACTCATACTCTTTTTGAATGTTTGATTTGCGATTTTTATTTTTTTCATTGTTATTAAATTGACTTATTTTTAATTTTTACTCGTTTCTGAATAGTTTGTGTATAATTTTATTTTGAATGTTTTGTATTTAAAAAAAAAAAAAATTACTAAGAAAGTGTAATGATCGTATAAAATGATCATTTTCCTTTACTAGCGGGCCATCTCTTTGACATTGTGTCCAGGTTAATCTGGGTTGGGCCATATGCATCAAATAGAACTTGGGCCTTTAGCGAAAATAACCCAAAATTCGGCCTAAAACCCTAACTCACAAAACCTTGAATCCCCCATTATCTCCGCTGTTTATGCAATTACCACTCTCGGCGTTTCAATTTCCGGCTAGAAGACATGGCTCGATTTCGAAATGTAAGCATCTGATCACTGTATTTTCTTTTTCCGACAAGCTTCTGATTCGATTATCTCGCAAATTTATATGTTTGTGCTCTGTGAATGATTGATTTTTCCAGAAAAAGAGGACACCGTTTGTGAGGCCGATTGCCAGGAAGCAAGCCACCGTAGACCACGTTACAGGTGATAAAATCCCCAAGAGCTTCGTCTTCTGTCGGGGGAAGCTGCCCGGCCCTCTCAGGCAGTTGGAATTGGATTTGAGAAAATTAATGCTTCCTTACACTGCTCTAAAGCTCAAGGTGTGTTTTTGCGCATGTGTGTTTTGTGTTGTTTATTTATGTTTAATTTTATTGGGAAATCGTGTTATGTTATGTAATGAAGATGACACTGAGAGGCTCTTAATGTAGAGTTTAGTTAGAAAGCTTTGTTCTTCTGCTGCTGTGTTTTTGTAACTGGGGTTATGCAGATAGTTTACTACATCACAAGATTGGCTCTTGTCTTGTATATTTCATTTTGTAGGAAAAAAAGCGTAACAATATCAAAGATTTCTTGAATGTTGCGGGGCCAATGGGTGTCACGCATTTCCTCATCTTATCGAAAACCGAGACCTCACCATACCTGAGGGTGGCTAGAACGCCACAGGGCCCGACTCTTACTTTCAAGATTCATAAGTATTCGCTGGCTACTGATATTGCTCGGTCTCAATTGCGCCCAAGATGCCCGAAAGACCTCTTCAAGAATCCCCCTTTGGTAATTGTCCGTTATGCCCGGCATTTACCCTCTTCTTAGTAGCATATGTGAAGATGGCTAGGGTGTGTTTGTTTGTAAATTTATTTAATTCATACTTAAAATCTAACTCAACTTTAACCCAACATCATTTATCTCCTACTTTTACGTCAAATCAACTTTATTTATTTTATTTTAAATATTATTTTAATATAACCTCAAAAATCCCACAAACAAGATCATACCAACTTTTCAAAATTAACTCTAGTTAACCAAAAAAACATATTTTGAGCAGATATATATGTATACAGGCACGCGCTTAGGGTGTTATTAGGATTTTGTTTCTAAAGTTATCTTCTAAGAGTGTAATTTCACCATAAAGCATGCAAACCGAGCTTAATGACTTAATGCCTGCAGATTGTGCTTTCTGGTTTTGGGACTGGAGAACAGCATCTAAAGCTTACGACTATTATGTTTCAGAACATATTTCCAGCCATTGATATAAACACTGTAAGGCTTTTGTGTCCTCTGGCCTGTTTTCTTATAGTTTCTTGGAGTGTCCTGTTTGTTGAGTTATGATCATCTTTGATTTGTTGCAGGTCAAGGTTTCATCATGCCAAAGGATTGTGTTGCTTAATTACAACAAGGAAACAAAGCTTATTGATTTTCGACACTACTCAATCAGGTTACAGCCTGTGGGGGTATCCCGGAGAATACGGAAGTTTGTACAGAACCATCAGGTGCCCGATTTAAGGAATCTTAAGGATGTCAGTGATTTTGTTACAAAGTATGATCTCTCTCTCTCTCTCTCTCTCTCTCTCTCTCTCTCTCTCTCTCTCGCTCGTATGGGTCTGTTTACTCAAACAATGAATGTAGAGTATTGAAATTTTAAGGAATCTCAAGTATTTTAGTGATTTTATTACAAAGTATGATCTCTCTCTCTCTCTCTCTCTCTGTGTGTGTGTGTGTGTGTGTGTGTGTGTCGGAAGGCTCTGTTTACTAAAACAATGAGGGTAAAGTATTGACATTTTAGTTTTTATTGGAAGTTCTTCTTAGTGCCTCATTTCAACTGGCATATAAAGTCTGTCTTGTGTAGTTGTGTTTTAAATAATTATTCTCATTTGCTTAGATAGTTTTTCTTGCCATCTATAGAGAATTATGTTCCCTTTAATTTCTATTGTGTAATGGTTCTTATTTTTGCTCTATGAAGGGCTGGTTATGGCTCTGAAAGTGAAATGGATGATGAAGCAGCAACTGTAAGTCTGCCAATGGATCTTGACAGAGTTAATCGAGCATCAAATAAAAGCGCTGTGAAGCTTCAAGAAATTGGACCGAGAATGACCCTTCAACTCATGAAAATTGAGGAAGGATTGTGTACTGGTGGAGTTATATTCAGTGAATTCGGTATGAAAAAAGATTTTCTTTTTATCGTTTTGGTTGGTTGGCTGTTGAATTTAAAATAAAAATGAATTCTCGGATGGTCATATTATGTTCATACACTTGATTATGATTTTAGCTTTACATTTAAGCCATTTTCATTTGTTATCTTCTATTTTCTTCGCCATTAATGTTTATAAGTATCACTAACGTTGAATGTCTTGTTATGTATTAATATTCAGGGGACAATACATCAAGAAATAACAAGAAAACTGTTGATGAAGAGCAACAACATGAAGAAAACGATGAAGAAGAAGACGATGAGGAAGAACAAGATGATGATGATGATGATGATGATGATGATGATGATGATGATGATGAAGAAGAAGATGATTGAGTTTGCTCACATGTCAATTTGTAACTTTAAGTTGATCAGTTCGATGTAATTGACCTCAGAGGGTCTTCCATTCCTTGGTTCGCATACTCCTGTGTAGGATCGAACCTTTTTAACGCTCGACCAAACAAACGAAGCGAATCGCAGTGAAGTCAGACATTTTAAATGGCCATTTTCTTCTACATTATCTGTTTGAGCTGGTAGTGTTATAAACCAAGTGCAAAACATATTTATTGTTATTGTAATGAGGAAAAAAAGCTCACGAATCATTTTTTTATTTTTTTTCTCTCTAACTTTGAACAAAAACACATATAACTATTTGATGTATATAATTGATAATATGTTAACTAGCAAAATAAATTGAGAATTTTAGGAGACAGATGAATGAAAAAAATGTGACAAACATTACAATTAACAGGAAAATGTAGCATTAAAAATTACAAGACTTGAGCAAACTCAAAATTTGCATATCTAAAGAAAAAAAAAAGCATTACTAGCAATGACTGCAAATCGAAATACATCCAACATTCGACAAGCGTTTTACAATTCTAACTCATCTGGCAATTGATAATTCTCTTCACTACACAAGCATTTTACAATTCAACTCATCACGCAATTAATTATTCTTCGGAAAAGTATCAACTCCCCCAAGTGAGTAATAGAACATTCGGACAATGTCTTTGTATAGCAAAGAAAATGAAAAGAAACAATCAAAACTTCCTAGCGTAAGACAAATCGAGCTCGAGTTCCTATGATGTTTTCTGGTACTTTTACGTAGATTTCTTTAGAAGCTCTTCAGATGGAACCTCCAGAGTGGCTCCAACATGCTCTTTTCCGGGCTTTACCTCTGCAGCAACATGTTCTTGATGTAAATATACTCACAAGATGTGACATCATATAGATATAAATAAAGTAAACGTTACGAACGTAATTTTACTTAGTCCATTAGACAGTCTTCGACCAAGATCCATCGTTTAGACTATGTTCGGTAAATCTAGTGAATAGCTTCTGAATTATGACTGAAAAACTAGCTTATGATAAAAGTGTTTGGCAAAATTTCTGAAATAAAATTTTGAATAAGCTTATTTGAAATGCTACCCAAGGAAGCTTAGGCTTATGAGATAAGCTCAAGCTTTTCAAAAAAGCTCGTCCTACCAAACCAATCTTATTTGAATACAATAAACTTGTAAGCTAATCAAATAAGTTGTAAGTTAGCTTATATGTTTACTAAACACAGCCGTAAACTCAATTTACACAGGTTTAGTAGATAAATCCTTGTAGAATCAATTTATCCGATCATAAAGTATGCAGTGAGACCATGAAATGCACGGTGCACAAGCATGGATAGGTAAACAAGATTCACATGGGAGAAAACTGGGGATTCAAATCAAGAAAAATGTGCTCAAATTGAGGACTTCGCAAAATTAAGATGAGATTCACATGGAGCAGGCATTCAGCAAGATTAAAAGCAGCT